CACACAGGTCTCTGAAAAGTTGATAGCGTCATTGTATTTCCTATAGCCAAAAACATATGTATGCAAATTTTCAGAATTTTTAGTTGATTTATTGAATTTAGAAGAGCAAAAACACTTATGTTCCCTATGTTGCAAAAACCATTTGTATAAGGCTGCTTTTCTGATACTTCGCGGCGGTCATATTTTTCTTGAAACACTTTGATACACAGACTTTTGGCCATGCAAAACGCTATGGTGTTATCGATTTTCCAGGAACGTGTGATTTTTTTCAGAATCTTCAGAAGACTTCTGGAAAACCTCAATATATATCTTTTCCTGTTCTTTGTAAAATATCATTGGATAGAGCTGAAAAAGATATTATTGGCCCAAATTTTCACTCTGATGCAGTATCAACTTCACAAGTAAACAGGCCGAACACAATCGAGCATAGAAAATAAAGCACGCACTTTGGTTCAGAATCATTAGTTTGTCATTTAATTTAGCTTCAGCTGGGTTTTCAATGCTTGGATTCTGGTAGAGCTCATAATTTCAGGTAAGACAAACTCTATTTTTCAACACGATTCACTTAAGAATTAAGTGCCGAAGTAGGTGAGGTCCAGCCTAGCAACCCTCTAGTTGACCATATTGAGCCCGCTATGCTTCGCAGGAAACACATTTCTATTCATTCTAAATGTTATCTTTGTGATCAGCATACTCGAAATAAACAGTTTCACAAAAAAAAAAAAAAAAATTATAGAAGACAACATGCTGATATTATACACTGATTTTTCTAATGACAATAAATTCTAATCGGTGTTTTTGTCCTTCAGCAGATCTTAAAGATGTGTACATTTATATAAAGCTGTCCTCATACTCTAACGATGTTCGATTTTCTATTCAATCAAATGAATATATCTGTATATATCGGATTGACTTATGAAAAAATTATTGAAGATATCTTTCAATGTCGATTTCATCTGTAACAGCGTCTTTTGATTATGAGAAATCATCAAACGAAAACTTCAAGACACGTCTACATTGTCACGTGTGTCATATATCTTTCTGATTGTTCTGTAGCCGACAGAACACACTCAAGAAGATTTCACATATATTCACTAAAATTTAAAATAGTCTAGTCTTACCATTTCGATTTTTTGTATTTCCATTAGATCATATTGAAAGACTAGTTTTTCTCATATGAAATAGGTAAGAAATAGACCAATTTTATTCGAAATATTCCTTTGAGAATGTAAATATTCTAGAAGTTCAATTTCGCATAGACAAGCTAATTATTTTTCTTTTTTCTCTTTTCTACTGAGAAGTAAGATAAAGCGTCGAATCTTCTAAAATATCTATTTAAGTTGAAAAAATGAATTAAATTTGAAAATTATCAATCTTTCTATCATCTAAAAGGAAACTTGTTTCACGTTCTTAATAATGTAAGTTTTATATAATTATGATTTTTTTTTTCTTCCTTGTCGTCACTCTTCGCGTCCATTCTCTCTGTAAATGTTTTACTGTTGCTAAGCGCAGTCCTTCTCAATAGAGTACATATTTGAAAATAATTTAAAAAGAAACGAAAAAAAAAATAAGCCAAAGCAAACAGAAACAGAGCAGACAACGTTGCCATGCTGCAAAGATAAGAAACAAGCAAACGGTGTAAGACGCAAACAGCTGTAATCGACAACAACATACAATTGAAATGATCCAGAATGCTTTTGATTCAATTGCTTTACCGTGGTAAGTAAATTATTAGGAAGATTCGAAAAGCAAAGAAAATCATTATAAATGTTATATAATTGATGCCAAGATACTACAAATAGTCTATCTCTTTTTTTACTCTATTGATCAATTTTAGTTATTAAAGAGATAAAAAAACAAAATCAATATAATGTAACTACGCATTTAATGAGATTACACATAAAAAGGACACGAATACAATGGTAAACTTTGGATGTGGGTAAGAGTAACAGTGAAAGAGCTTCTAGTCGCCAATCAATCTGCACAGATGAAGGTTAAAATCTATCAGTCAGAGAGCAATACGTGGCAATAAAGACGAAAAGCTTCCAACCGCAGTAACGTGCACAGTAGTAAGGATAGAAAGCTTCGATTCACTTATTGATATACCAAAGTTAGAGGAATAACCTTCAGTACTGACAGTAGTGTAAAACATCACGAGTCCACCACGTCGAGCGACAAATCAATGCGTCAAACTCTTGATGAAACAGCTTTGTCCCGAATGACTATGAGCTACATGGTCGTATTTCGAAGTTAGTGTACAAAATTTCAACCCTTCCATCAATTTGTCAGAGCGGTGCTGAAAAACTTCAGGACTGCTGAGCAATCCATAGAAACAATCTATCAGGATGACAGCTGAAAGCTTCCAGTAGTACGCATATCGTTGAGAGCCAGAGTGAAAAAATTTTGCTCTCACAAACATGGATGATTGTAATGACACAGAAGCGGCAATCATCTCACCATTTATCAGGATGCCAGCGAAAATTTTCAAGCGATACAGGAAATCATAAGAATAACATCAACATATTTAAATTTACATAAGAATCCGTAAGACAGCCGATCCGAACACTTAGCACACTGATCAATATGTTTAAGCCAGGACAAAAACAGCGTTTGACACCATGCAACAATGTGTTAAAAGCAAATCAAAAAGCTGCAGATGACTCATCTATTCGACTAAGTGTACGAAAAAAGTATAATGTCATACTGAGGTGCTTGAGTTTTACATTAATAGCATTAGAACTGCAGATGAATACATAAGAAGAAAGGAAGAAAGCCTGAAGTAACCCATCAGATATGTTCACGGCGGGGAGTAGCCGCGGACAATCGATGAGTGTGTTTCGTTGCTGACGAACGCTTTGGGTCGCACATAACGTGAAGGAGTCCGAAAAACTTTCATCACATCTATTCATCTATTAGGGTACCTTGGAAAGTTTCCAAGATCAAGCGATATGCAAAAGTCACTACGAAAAATTTCAAGCTAATCATAACTGTATTTTTGTGAAGATGAAAATTCCTTAGCGACAGAATCTCAGAAAACCTATCCATGTCTTAAGGTAGTCGAGGCAACTTTCAGACTACCAATGAACTTATTCTAAAGACAGCCAAAACTTTTGAATCGTAGAAGAATGCGTTAGAAGAACCGCGAAAATCTTCAGCGAACCTAGCCATATTTAAAAGTGGCTATTAAAAGCTTCAAATTACTGATGAAAGTGTTTCCATGAAGCCGAAAATTTTTGAAACACAACGAAATATGTGAAAGATACTCACCAAATGACTTAGAATGATAGCGAAAACATGTATAAACACAGAGGAATTGATGAGAGAGAGGGCAAAAGCTTGCGAACCCTGCCGTATAGAGGGCATGGTAAATTCCGCTTTCCTGGAAATTAAAATTTGACTGCAGCTCAAGTGCAGAATGATTTCAAGAAGGGTATGCTATGGGTTGGGTTGGGATGGGATGGGTTGGGTTGAGATGGGTTGGGCTGGGTTGAGATTGTATGGGATGGGATGGGTTGGGTGTGGATGTGCGTGTGAATGTGGGTGTTGTTTTCTTTTAAGTCACACCCCACACCCCACACCCACACCCACACTTACACCTACACCCACACCCACACCTACACCTACACCTACGCCCACACCCACACCCACACCCACACCTACACCCACACCCCACACTCACACCCCACACCCAACCCGTCCCAACCCAACCCGACCCAACCCAACCCGAGCCAACCCAACCCAATCCAACCCAACCCAACCCAACCCAACTAAACTCTAACTTAAACTTAAACTTTTTTCGATATTCCCTTTTATAACGTGAGTTCGCTATGAGTATCTTTAAAACATTCAATTAAATTTCTATGAAATTTCTTCTATAGTAATTTTTTTGAATTTCCTGGAAAGCGGAATTTACCATCGCATGGCCGTATATGGAAGTACGAGCAAAAAACTTCAGCATCTATAGTCATGTCCCAACATATTCGTAAAAATCTTCTAGATATTGACCAATCTCATAGAATTACAGCAAAAGCTTTCAGACCACAGAGAAACATATGTGACGAGCAGGAAAAGTTTCAGAGAAGCAATCAATCTTATTGATTGCTGGCGCGAACCTTAGAATAATAGATAAGTGTGTTAGTGCAGCAGCAAAAAAGTTTCAAGGAACGAATCGATATATCAGATTAATCGCGATAATGTTCATGCTAGGAGCAATATCTTTGAATGACGGCAGAAACTTTCTGATCTCACAGAAATACGTGAGAGGAAAAGCTATGAGCTTCAGAGATGTCATTCTGGCTGTCATGTGAGGATGGGTGTGTATAAAAACTCTCATCTAAACCCACACACACACACACTAAAACTAATGCTTGAGCAAGTTTTTTTTCTAGTTAAATCTATAGATTGATTTCTATCCACTGCTCTGTACGTATATTTGAGAACATAATTGTGTAATACTCGCACAGTTCCATACCGTCAGTGTTCAATGGGTTTTGCTAAAAAGTTGTAATAGAAAAAAAGTTACTTGGTCAGAAGTTTTCAGCGAATCTCGTTGTTCTTTCATGGAAATATAAAGGACATAAAATTCCGAAAAACGTTCCGGAAAAAACAATTATATTTTAATGAAACTTACGTTAAAAAATCGATATTAAATTAGACAATGAAGAATTGATAGATAACGAAATAGTATACATTCAGTATGGAATAAATTTCTATCTTATTAATAATTCAATATAAAAAAAAAATTTTCTATTACTTTGATAGTGTCATGAGAAGATATTTCCGCATGAGATTTGAAGCTAACTTTACGCCTTCTGTAGATCTTTAAACTTACATAATATCAAATAAAGCAGTGTAATAAACGTCCAATGTGCTTAAAAGTTGATTTTGTACTAAGAGACAAGAAAGATCGACATTTTAGAAACAATACTATAGAAGTTACCATTTATTACTTTTCAGATATTTATTTTAAAAATTCGTGAAGAATTTTCTTTCTGTTGAAAATGGCTACAGCAAGTGGGGCAGAAGCAATAGCACAGCGTATATTACGCATTACAGACATTGTCCACGAGCCCCTAGAATTTATCGCACCAATTGGTGGCTATGAAGAAATGCCGCTTGTTCCACTTGAAATAGCTGTTGAAGCGCTCGTTCCTATTCTACCAGCAATTCAAAGTCATGCATATGTTGCCAAACAACGATGTAAGAATCTTGTCGATGAATTGACACAAGATGAATCCGCCTCAATTATGTTATATACGATGGGATGGAAGCCACTTGATAAATGCTTATATATCGTTTTGAATGATACTTTACGATCACCAGATCGACAACAAAAGCTTGAACCATGGTATTTGTTTCTGAGACTCTTTCTTAATGCACTCTTTCGCCTTCCATCACTTCCTAAAACTGCATATAGAGGCGTTAAATTAGATCTGAGCCAGCGCTACATCAAAGGAGAAACAATCGCCTGGTGGGGTTTCTCATCGTGCACAACAGCTGTTGGTGTTCTAAATTCGAAATCATTTTTGGGAACAACAGGTGACAGAACAATGTTTACCTTACAATGTCAATCAGCTAGAGATATTCGCAAGTATTCATATTTTCCAGCTGAAGACGAAGTACTTCTTATGGCTGGAACTCAATTCAAAGTAGTCAGTTGTCTTAATCAAGGCGACCTCCATATTATCCAATTGGAAGAAACTCGTCCTCCATTTCCACTCTTACAACCAGTACCTATTATTGTTCCATCATGGATCAATCCAACTCCCTCAAGTAAGTGAAAATCAACATAAAAGATCATTGCACTTGATACACAACACTCCTACTTTCGATACCACAAAGAATATTAAAAACTATATGTAAATCCCTTAGCCAATATAGGTTTCATAAAATATGAACACAAAGAATCAATTTACTTCTCATTTAAAAAGATGGTTAAAAATTAAATTAAAATCGATTTGCTTTAAAAGATCAAAAAAATAATTGATTCCATAGGACAAATTTTCCTCAAGTTCAATCAAATATTTGATTCCGAATAAAGATTTTCACAAAAACAATTGGCTTTGTCTTGTACAGTATAAATAACTGATTGACCACTTTATCGATTTCAATCACTTTTTTGCTTCATCTATTAAACTCTGTTTTCTCTCGTAAAATCTAAATAATTAGTTTAAGTTGATTTGTTTCCCAAAACGATGAAAACCTATTAAACAATTTTCCAGTTTGTTCCTTTTTTCACTTTTTTTTAAATGTTTGATAGGTAGATTCAGTGGTAAGTCCGAAGAGGTTCAGAATAGAAAAGGGCAACATTGCATAAAATCGAAGAAAAGTGTAGTCAAATGCAATAACGCTCCGACGTCGTCGATATTCGACGGGCATAATTCCAATTTTTTTCCTACAGTTCGAAATTCACCAAGATGTATTTGTTTTCGATCGACTTCTACATAAAAATTACACTTTCAGATAAGTTAATAAATTCACACACGACTCAAAATCATCTGCTGCGTAGCAAACAACAGTGTAGGCTCGGGAAAATTCTATCTTGTCTTATAGATGTTTCCAGGAGGAACGTTTTCGCATGCTTGTCAAAAACGTTTCTCAAATGTTTTTGTCACCCAAAGTGGATACGTGCGCGACAGCTGTTGACCATTACGACGAGGGTGGAGAATAAATCTGACACCTTCACATCAAACATTCAAATGTTCAGTCACTTGCACTCTCATGCGTTTTGCTCACATTCATACTCTTCATCCTGAAGGAAACCTCCCTTGTCTTCTATTGCTACTGGTGACACCCACCTCTGCTTTGAGTAATCCACCAAATAACGAAAGGATATTGAATTTGATAGAAAATAACACAAAACGATCTATTAAGAAACAAATAATTGTCTTGAATTATAGGTGCTTGGACAACGACTACCGTTGGCGTAAACACAGCCAAAAAAGAGACACACTCTAGCATGGTTCAAGTAATTCAAACAATCTCTTTAGCATCATTTTTTTGCTCATACGTATCTCTTTTTTGTTCACAGAGTAATACAGGTGCAGCAGTCGCCGCCAGTACCGAAAATACTGGAATCAACTCCATCACCAAAAAAGTTAGACGATAATTATTCTAGAAAACAGATGTCTATCAAATGACTGATACTTTTAGATATCTGCTGTTGAAATCAATGCTCCAGCAAATAAAGGTAAAATATCGTTTATTATCACTTTAAAAGTGAGAATGATTGGTGATGTTTTGTGTTTCAAGGAAATTTTGTACTTTCACATTATCTCGCATTAAGCGTTTAGCGTGATTTATTGAATTTTCGCATCATTGACCGATTTGTTCTTGAAAATGACTTTTAAAAGTAAATGGAACTACTAGAAGTTCATAGTGGTAGCTAACAGAGTTTTCTTAACTCTCACTTCGTTTAGAACCGTGGTTTTTTTGGAAAAAAACTATTGTGATCTAGTAGATTGGCCATGGATTCTCGCCTATGCCACGCAATGATAAGCTTCTCTCACAGCCACATAAACAGAACAAGTGTTGCTAATTATATTAACCTTTTGAATTGTGCAGTAAAAGGGGCTAGAACAGAAGAATCTACGATAAGAAACAAGCTCGCGTAAATCAATAGAGGTTCCCTCGAACAAAAAAAGTCCCTTTTTTCCGATTCATTTTTTCATCACCTAATACGCTGTATTAAAAAAACAAAGTACGCTACAAGATGCAGCACGAAAAGCTCTACAATTTACAAAGAACAACTTATTCCATAGTTGCACTTTTTTTCTCAAAATGGACAAAATTCTGTGCGACTAATTTTTGATGCTGCGAACAAGATCCCTTTTTGGGACACAATCTATTTCTTTTCTTATTATTTTTGGCTAATGAGTTGTATCAAAAGTCATAATCGATGGCTAAACAAAGGAACAAAGTTAAAAGCAATGATTCCTCAATTAATGATATAAGAAAAGGAATTCATGATGTACCAAAAAGCTATTTTTTCGAAGAGTCAAAAACTAATAGCTCGGAATTTTGTCTATTTTGAAAACAGAAAGTGCAGTTATAAAATAAGCCGTCCTTTGTAGATTGTAGAACTTTTCACGCTGCATCTTGTAGTGTATTTTGTTTTTTTAATACAGTGTATTAGGTGATGAAAAAATGAATCAGAAAAAGGAATTTTTTTCTGTCCGAGGGAGACTATAGGGCACTCATACCTTTTCAAAAAGTTTTCCCGAACGGTTGTTTGCGCATGCGGATAGAATCTGCACGTTTGGAAAGTGTATATTCTAGAGTCTATGTTAATTGCTCATTCGAATAAACTTAGTCAGTCTTTCTTGAGTGGAGCTGGGTTTCGAACTTTAAGTTCATCAGACCATATGTATATTCTAGTTTTATGCTTTTTTTCTTTTGTTGAAATATATATTGGATGTAGTTTTTTTTTAATGTTGATCTTAACTACTTGATTGGTTTTGCTTCTGATATTGAACGATAATAAATGACAATGCTATGTGAGGCCACATGTTTGACAAGTTTGCCTTTTTTTTTATTGATTGTAATTAGGAAAACTTGGATTTTCTCCAGTATTTTTGTAGATCGCTATCGAACATTTCTAAGAAGATAAGCTATTTGATTTTCTTTTCTTTCGCACAAAAATATCTATCAACACATGCTCCGTAGCATGTTGAAGTTTTCTATATCGAAACGATTTTGTTGAGTTGATTGGTTTCAAAACTAATCAATTAATATTTTTCTACTCGATTTTTCGATACTAACTTGAAATAAGCGTACTTTTATCAAGCATATCTCTAATTTGTACTTGCTATTTGAATCAAAAGAAATGCCACCGATAAACTGAGATTATAGGAAGCTTCAAAAAAACAAAACATACAGCATCAAAATCTTTATTAGTTATTGTAGGATCTATAACACTTTTTCAAGGTACGGTAAATATCTACTATCAAAGTCTTATCTTCCACTGTTATAATTCACTTGCAAGAAGTTTCTTTTTTTTCAGATAACTATGGTTTTGACATAAAAATATTCAAGGAGACATTCAAAAGTTCTGCTTAGCACCAAGATATATATATGTCGTATCGAAGATGCTTCGATGTATAAAATTATAGTTAATTTTTCGTTTTTGAAAACATCTATATTATTTGTTTTTATGAATAGAGTTTATTAATATTTTATAAGATTATAAATCTATTTTGATGACACTAAGTTCTGTAAATAATGAAAGAGATTTCTAGAATACAATGTTTTGATTTAAACAACACTTTAACTTTATAATAACAACAAAAAATACCTATTACCATATAAGGACAAAATAAACGCTTACCAGAGGCAAACTTACACGGAGCTAAACAAAGATTTGACTAGATTTTTGAATGATTCCAGTATAAATTCTATCGGTGAAACTTGTCTCAAAGAAGAGCATATGAGACAAGTATAATAAGAAAAGTAATAGATAAAACAGTAAGTTGAAATTTGTTGTTTATATTTCAAACACTTGGATCTATCTTTGTGCAATATATTACATAATTTGACTGCACTAGAAGAAAACTACACTTGGTATAAAACATTCTGCATCCTAAGCTATTTTTTTACTCATAATCTTGTCTTCTATTTTTACTTTCAGTAAGGTGCTTCATTTATCTTTATTGTTACTCTTGCATTGTATGTCAAAATGAAAACTGATATTCACACCAATGCATGAAAAACATCCCGGAATAAAGAATATTCTAAGAATTGTTCTAACTCTATGATTATGTGCTAACTATTTAAATCAAAACATAGTATTCTAAAGATTTCTTTCGTTAGTTATAGTCCTTAGTGCCATCAGAATAGATTTATAATCATACAAAATATTAAAAAATCCTAATGTTTGATTTTTCTCAATGATATCTTCTATGTTTATCTACACAAAAAAAATGATATAAATATTTTCAAAAATGAAAAAGATTAACTGTAATTTTATACATATCGTTCCGAAGTTATTCTCCGTTAAATAAAAAATTAAACATGATTTTATTGACGATGATATTATGAAAATATATTGCTCCAATCAAAATTAAAACCGAAAAATAAGAAGTAACATTATGTGCCTAACATAAAGAGATTATTAGATAATAATCAAGTGATTCATTTTAATAATCGTACAAAATAATCCAGAAAATCATGTCATCAGGATGTAGACTGATTCCTTAGGGTTCCTCAAAAACATAGGAATTAGGTTTGACATTTATTGTCCAAGAAAAATCCTGTTGCTTAAATCCTCGAAGGATTCAAGCTTCCTAGTACTCTTTTTCGATACTTCTCCAAAGATTTTGTATTCCAACAATTCCGAATAAAATCCTCATATTTCCATGTTTTCTCATCGAAAGCTTGCATCGAGTTAGTATTGCTCTTTCTCAAAAAGTCTCCTTATAGCAATCTCCAGATGCAGTTTTCACCCACCGCGAAGATTCTACTTTTTAGAATCCCATAGATCTTGGTAAGAACTTATAGAATCCCTCTAAACAACGGATTATAATAGATTTTACCCGAGTTTCTCAACCAATGAACATAACTGAGATCAGCGGAAGTGACTTAGATGTAAGAATTGTTACGAAATCTTTTTTTTATAGGCAACTATGAAACGGTTCTGAATTTTTATCTGTGGAAAGAACATTCTCGAAAATTTCACAGAATTCCCTTCGAAGACAAATGTCATATTTATTGCTCTTTCCTATGAGAAAGGCGGATCTTTTCGACATAAACAATGAAGATTCCTTTTCTTTTTTGTTCATTGTAG